CATTTTCTGGAAATTTTGAAGCCACTGGAGAAGAAGCTTTTTTCTAGGGAAAATGGAAATTTAGGGGGGAAATTGAAAAATATGAAAAGACTTCCTTACCAAAACTAAACTCCTTTTACTGGTTAAGCAACATAAAATGCATCATTTATAATTTGGCATATACAATTATACTCTTTAGCATATTTATGGAATTTAAAATTATAAATATCTTTGTTTTCTATAAGAAAAAATGCAAGTGTACTCAGTACTCCAGAGACTTGCAAATTGCTGCACTTTATGCTACCACGGAACATGTATTTAATTTTTTCTGTCTGAGAGGGAGGAAAAAATGTGAAGGGAGAAAACAAATTCTGTCGTAACAAAAACTCAGTCTCAGTAGGTAAGACTACTTACATGTTTTGATATTAAGTTAAACTCTAACACTGAAAACAAAGAGTTATGATGCTGGAGTACGTTTAATGACGATACATTATCTTTGTTGCCAAAATATTTAAACAAAAGAATACCTTGACAATGTTGTATGTGTGTACAGTATAAGAGGTTTTTCCCTGGAAGGCATCCTCAGACTTGTCCTAATATAGAGCTTGAGTGTTAAAATTCATGTCTGAAGAAGCATTTTCACTTATTCTAGAACAAGGGGGGGGGAATTTCACAAGAGTTTTTTAGTTCTCTCTGAAAGGAAAAATTGAAAAATATCCTTAAGGGAAAAAACCCAGGAAAAATGTTGTTTCTGTATCTTTCCACTTTCCCCCCCCCCTGGTCTTGCAGAGTTTGCCTGTGTTTTCAGACTTCTCGTACTTGGGCGCAAGCCACAGCTCCCCATCCCATTAAAAAGAAGTAAAATCACTTCCCGAGTTGGAAATAATTTAAAGCCTTTGTGACTATTGCTGCTGCAAATTTTATAAAGTGATGCTACAGGAAATGAGCTGACAGACTTTACACACACATATAACTTTAACACTGCCCAGCTTGCTCCGACCACTTCCCTCCCTCAGAGGCAAGATTTTCCCTCCATCTTTCTTTTCCTTAGTAATGTGTTTTCGTTCAGCCCAGGAACCTGAGGGAAGGAGCCCACTTTAATTTAAATGGCACCCGAGGGGGTTGGAAATTAAAAAACAACAAAATATTTCATTTAACATAGAGGGGAAAGCTCGGGTGAAATCAGGGGTTGAAATTTCTGAGGTAAAACCAGTATATGCACAGACTTTAGTTCTTATGCTTCGGGGTAATGAGAGTTTCTTAAGCTTTTCACAGTGATTTAAATCTTTATGTTGAGAGGCTTTTGTTCCAGTGTTTTCCAAACATTCCAGCGTACTTTATTTGAGTATTCTCTAACTCTTTTGGTTTCCAGAAGGCTGGGACACTCTTCTCAGTACCCAAACCCCCTCTCTTGAAACACCAGTATTCCTCTTGAGTTTTTAACTGACTCTTAAGGTCTCTAAAGGCAGTTTCTAATCCATGCCAGACCAGGGATCTCGGCACTCTTCAGAGCTAACTCCCTGTTTGACAGGGTAGGGAAATTATCCTCTCACTAGAACAGTGGTGCCGAACCTATGGCACGGGTGCCAGAGGTGGCACTCAGAGCCCTCTCTGTGGGCACGCGTGCCATCGCCCCAGCCAGACCCAGACCATCATTAAAGTGTCGAATTCTCCACCAAATAATTTTAAGTAAATGAAAGCATTTGGGATTGCTTTCCTTACTTTGTTTGGATCATCTTAAGTTAATGTATGAGTTGTTTTTTCTAAAGTAAAACCTCAACATTTAGGTTAAATTGCCATGTTGGCACTTTGCGATAAATAAGTGGGTTTTGGGTCACAGTTTGGGCACTCGGTCTCTAAAAGGTTCGCCATCACTGCACTAGAAGATCTATACCCTTTCCTTGGCCTGAATGGGAGTCTTTGCCTACTTACCAGACTTCCTTGCCAACATTCCCCAGTTCTCCTGTCTGTGTTAAACTGCTCTCAATCAGGGCTGAATTCTGAAACTGTCAGAACTTGACTTTTCTCAGCTAGGGCTGAAACCAGCCTCAATTCAGTCAAGGCAGAAATCTGACTGACTCTCTCCTCAGCATCCAGTTCAGACGTTTTTTCTCTGCTCAGCTGGTGCCGATCAGTCAGATCTTTTGGAACAGCCTGTCACTCATAGCTCTCTGGCTCTGTGAGAATTAACCCTTCACAGTCCTTCCAAGCTTTTAAAAGTGCAGTCCGTCACACAACCGATCTCCAAGTACCTCCTGCCCTAGACTTCAGTTCTTTGCTGGTCTTCCCCAGCCCTGCTTCCTTTCATGCTCACTAGGACCAGTAGCTTCAGACATGAACAAGCATGCCCTGAACTCACAACCCTACCAATTAAAATATTATTTAAATGCCCCTGCCTATTAGTTAAGTGATGCTTTAACTAGTGTAGCAGCTGAAATGATTAAAACAGTCCTAAATATCAGCAATGAACATGTTTTAGTTGCTCTGTTTAGATAGCTTGCCGCATTCAGCTTTTTCTTGGCACTGAGCTTGAGTTATTTTGGGGGGGAAATGAATTGTAGTGTAAACAAAGTGCTGGGAATAGGAGGGATCTGCTTCAGAGTGGTTGTAAAAATAAACAAACCAAGTAGTTTAGCTCATCTTAAGTCTTGTCATGTAGGCCTTCCAACCCCCAGACTAACAATGGTTTCTGTCAAGTAACGTCCCACACCATTCCAGTGCATGTGTTGGTCACTGTCGGGAGAATTGGTTTAGCAGAAGGGCAAGGATGACACACGCCAGGCTGAGCGCAAGTCTTGGCTTTGACCCATCTTGGTTTTCAGCAGCTGTCCTGTAGCCACAGCCTGGCATTGTTGGGTTAGGCTTTGTGCCAGCTGATGCCAGGTTCTGTTAGGTTTTTTGTGATTCCCTCAGGACATCAGTTGTGCTCTTTTTTTGCTGTGCTATGAAAGGGGAGCTGTTAATATTTTGTCCATCGGATGAATTCATTCAAATGACAGCGGCACGGCTTTGCTTCCCGGTGACTGCACACAAGCTGCTCCCTTCGTTCTTGAAGTTGAGATTTTCTGGGCAGATGGCAAAGACCTTCATGGTGTTCAGAGACAGTGGTTGGAAACGAAGATCAGTGTAGGGATGTGAGGAGTTAAGGGCAAAGATTGGCTTTTGAGGAGAAAGGGCATGTTACCTTAGGTCTATTTGCCCAAAGGACACAGCAGCCATCCTGCCAGTGCTTATTCTGCATTATTTGGCTGGGAATGGTTCTTGAAACCTTCAGAGAGTGGTATCTCTCCCCCATCCTTAGGAGATTACTGTGGGTTTAACAAGCAGCCTCCCTATCCTAGCTCTCTCCCCCCCCTCAAGCTGAATGAATCAGAGCAGTGCTTTCATAGTAGTAATTGGAACTTGACTGGGGGCTTTCCCTGCCATTTCCTTTTCTACACACTAAAATTTCCCCATCCTACTCCCCTTCTAAGAACATTTCTGGAAATGTTGCTTTCATACCCCTTTGGGATAGTGAGAGAAGAGATGAAGAGGCCTTTGCTCGCTGCCTTGACGTCAAGACAGAGTCAGCCTCTTCTGGATGTGGGCTACATAAAATGGTCAAGGTGCAAAACTAAGCATCCTTGGGTGGCAGTTGCTAATATTGTCTGCCAGTACTGGTTCTTTAACTTAAGAGGCTTTTTTGTCTTTCTTTCTCCAGCTTCATAAACATTATTAATTGAGGGGGGGGGGGAATAAAACGTTGAGGTATTGCTGCATCTTGTATTGCATTGTGGACATTTTTTTTAAATTTACAAAATGTATATGCCACTTCAAGGAGGCCCACGAGTAAAACAATACAATAAAATCTTAAATTGACAGCATGCAAACAAGCCAGGGCATCCAAACAGCGTTCAGCAGCTTAAAATGATAGTCATAAAATGGCCCTCAGCAGACCATAAAAATGGCTTAAAGATGGAGGACCCTTAGTTAAAGCCTGAGTAAGAAGAGATGTTTTGACCGAATGTCTGAAAGGGGAATAAGGTAGGCACTGAAGGGGGGGGGGGCATCGTCTCTGGCTGCCACCCGCCTCACTTCTGCCAGTTTTGGTCTGTCCTGCAGATTTTCACTTCCCAGTTGAGTTACAGTATTGTGTCAAAATCTAAATGCAGGCTTGATTAGTACTGCTTTGCATGCATGTATTTGTGTTTTTCACTGCTAAATTCAGATATTTCCCCTGTTTTAGAATGGTTACTTATGTGTTGGCTGTACGTTGTTTTCTGTACCTCAGGTATGCAACTTGCCTGCTCGCCTTTTGCATCTAAGATCAACCAAACAGATCTTACAGAAGTCAGTGCCTCTTTTTTAAAGTCCGCTAATAAGTAAGGTAGCCATGGGTGATAGAAATCATTGTGGACATATTCACAAGGCTGCTGTTTTATGTGATGGGGGGGGGAAATGGCCAAGTGTTTTCTGCACAGTTTTCTGCACACATTTCCTATAAAGCAAAGGTCATTCGTCAGTTGGTCACAGCCTTCGAGTGGGAGACTATTCAGTGAATGCTTCCAGTGCTGTAGGCTGATCCCATTGGTCACTCAATGGATGCATCTAAAAGTTGGTTACACCATGGCTTTGGTTTTGCTTTCTCGTAATGCTTCTTAAATAGGTGCTGTGGTTTCTATAGAGCAAAGTGGACTTCCAGACGATGTTGGAGGAACAACAGAGGCGCCACATAGCAACACTGCATAGCTGCTGCTTGTGGTTCCCCTTAACATTTCTGGAACCTCAAGGAGAAGGCCTCGTAGGTCTCTCCCACCTCAGGAAGAATCGTATTGACTCTAGGAGCTTTGGATGTATTCTTTAGCAAAACCCAGTCCTGTTTTGGCACTCCAGACAAGCCATTGGAGACAAGGGGTTTTGTGTAACTTCTTTGGGAAGGGGGGGGGGGGAGGAAAGGGAAGGATGGGAGGAAAACAGAGGAGGCTGCCTATCAGTGGGATTTCCCCTCACACTCTCTCTCTTTACCACCCCTCCTCCTGCAGGTCCATGGTGGCGGTGTGACACCCATCCGAGGGGAGAGCGCAAGAAGACCGCGTGGAGGCCTGCGCCCGTGAAGGATGCTGAAGAAAAGCAGTCTGGTTCTCTGGGGCGTGGTGCTTTTTGTGGCCTGGAATGCCCTGATCCTGTTCTTCTTGTGGACCCGGCCTCAGTCTCTCTCCGACCACAGCCATCTCACCGAGGAGGTAATCCGCCTGGCTCAGGATGCCGAATCGGAGCTAGAGCGCCAGAAGGACCTCTTGCAGCAGATCTACCGTTACAGTGCCCTCTGGAGCAGGAGGAAGGCTAGCGAGGCCAAGCTTCACCCACCAGTTGCTGCATCGGCCCAGCCTTCCACGGCCGCTCCTTTGTCCCACCACTCTCAAATCTCCCCAGATGCTGTACTGCCAGTGCTGGTAATCGCCTGCGACCGCAGCACAGTCCGCCGTTGCCTCGACAAGCTGCTGCATTACCGTCCCTCACAGGAGCGGTTCCCCATCATCGTGAGCCAGGACTGCGGACACGACGAGACGGCCAGGGTAATCGCCTCCTATGGAGACGCCATCATGCACATCAAGCAGCCCAATCTGAGTGACATCCCTGTGCCCACTGATCACCGCAAGTTCCAGGGCTACTACAAGATCGCCCGGCACTATCACTGGGCCTTGAGCCAGGTTTTTCGGACCTTCCAGTACCAAGCAGCCATTGTCGTGGAAGATGACCTGGAAGTGGCTCCGGACTTCTTTGAATACTTCCAGGCAGCCTTTCCTCTCCTGCTGGCTGACCCGACCCTTTGGTGTGTCTCTGCCTGGAACGATAATGGCAAGGAGCAGATGGTCGATGCGGCCCATCCGGATCTCCTCTACCGTACAGATTTTTTCCCCGGCCTGGGCTGGCTTCTGCTGTCTGACCTGTGGAACGAGCTGGAGCCCAAGTGGCCCAAGGCCTTCTGGGACGACTGGATGCGGCAGCCTGAGCAGCGGCAGGGCCGTTCGTGCATCAGGCCTGAAGTGTCGCGCACCATGACCTTTGGCCGCAAGGGGGTGAGCCACGGTCAGTTCTTTGACCAGCACCTGAAGTTTATCAAGCTCAACGACCACTTCGTGCCTTTCACCCAGATGGACCTTTCTTACCTCAAGAAGAATGAGTATGACCGCTCATTCCTGGACCAAGTCTACGGTGCCCCTGAACTGCGGGTCGAAGAGCTGCAGGGTAACCGGCGCCGGGAGTTGGGCACCGTCAGAGTGCAGTATACCACCCGGGACTCCTTCAAGGCCTTTGCCAAGGCCCTGGGCGTCATGGACGACCTCAAGTCGGGAGTGCCTCGTGCCGGCTACCGGGGCATTGTCAGCTTCCTTTACCAAAGCCGGCGTGTTTACTTAGCACCCCCTTCTGACTGGACAGGCTATGACCCCAGCTGGAGTTAGCAGCTGGTGATCCTGAAGCATGCTGGACTCTAGAGGGGGAGGGGGGGTGCTTGAGGCGGGGAGGGAGGGGAGGGAGACTCTATGTATTTCCTGTGTGGCATTCGAGTGCATTCCAGAGATGAGGCTTGTTTTTGTGCACTTAAAATACTGGATAGGGTGGGATGGGTGGTTAGAGATATTCTGATGCCCCAGCCCAGGGGATGAGGTGGAGCCTTCTGAGTGGTCTCGGTTTTTCTCTCCAGTGCCTATCCTCCTTTTTTTTTCCCCTTCCTCTCTCTTTTTCTTTTTTTGATGTGGCGGTCCGTTTACTTGTTGGGCCCTGGGTGGCTTCTCCAAGTGGGTGATTTGAGGTCAAAGCCAACACTCAACCAAAGCAGGAACCCGCTGAGGTTCCCCCAGCTTCATTGGCGCTATGGTGGTTCTGAGCAACTGGCGGCTCAGCAAACCGAATGCAACCCCATCGGCTTTGTGTAGCGACCCTCCATGGTGGTCTGCATGTGAAGGTGGAAGACGGATTGGTTGTCTGCCGTGCTGGGCTGATAACACTGCTCAGTTGGTGCAGAGGCCTGATCTGTAGGGAGGGAACAAGGAACTCTTCTCACCCCTTGGCTACCCAATGAGTTCTCATCTGAAGTACAGGCTTCCTTTTGGTGATCATTAAGCCCCTTTGAAAGATCATCTTTATTGACCACGTTGGCCTCTTTTGCTTGGGCATCCCGCTGGGTGGTCAAATGACTACTTCAGCCATCTTGGATGGGATGGTGGGGAAGAGGAGGGCCCTGATAAATGCCAAGTGACCAGCATTCAGTAGATCTGGAGAGGCGAGCCGTGCCAGCTGCTGTCACCTGGAGTTTAAAGGAGGCTGGGGCAAGGGGAGCTCCCATGCTGGGGCCTGCTCACTGTAGTCCGAATGTTCACTTTGAAAGAGGCAGCCACTTTTGTCACAGCTATCTTCATTCTCTTTGCCGGTCCTGAGATGCACACGGCCGTCGCTTGACTCTCGGCGCTTCTCAAAGGAACATCCAGTCAGCTGGCCAGATAAACAGAACCTTCCTGGGTTGTAGCATTTCGTACGGCAGGTCCGGGAATTAACGGTCTGAAAGCCTCCCTGCGTGAATATGTGTGTGGAACCAGCATGTTGGTGAGAGGGTTGTGAGCTAGTTCCCCCCCCCGCCGGCATGCTAGGGGTGTGTGTGTGCGTTTGTGTGAAATATTACACACACAAGAGTATTCAAATCCCGGCTTCCCCCATCTGCAGTCTGAAATGCTAATGTGGAAGATGGGTTGTATCCTGTGGCATTTCTGGTTGTCTCTCAGCTCTTGAGTATCTTCTGTAGCCACATAATAGAAAAGCTGCACAGTGTTCAAGGGGAGGCTAACTCACTATGGTCCAATAGGTGGTAGGAAGGAGATGTGGGGCCCCCCCACAGGGCTGCCTTAATTCTGCTCGGTGGGGAGCAGTGTTCTTTCCTGAACAAATCTCACTGTAGGGGCAGTGCTCTGTCGTCAATAAACCCGATTGCATTGCTTGCCCCTTGGTGGCATTTCCTCGAAAGTAGTTTTTTCTGGCTACCGCATTAGACCTGGTCACCGCCACATCAGTGGGAGGAATCGGGGGGAGGGGGGGGAGAGAATTCCCGGGACATCAGAAGGGGCTCCCTAGTACGGGGGCCCAGCCTTAGTCAGTGGTGCGGAACCCCCCTTCTCCATCCTAGTCTCTAGGAGGGGCTGCTAAGCTGATCCAGAGCGCTGTGGAGAGGTGAGTGTGGGGATGGGGCTTCAGAACTCATTTGGCCAAAATTCAGACCACACCAAAGGGTAATATTTTGTTTGGATGCTGTATTACTTTTGTCTTTTCTTTTTCTTTTAAAAAAAACAACAACAACAAACCTGTCCCCATGGTGAGTGGAGGACAAAAGACGCTGTCTCTGCTTTGGAACTGGATTTCAGTCAGGGACTTCCTGTGAATCAGATTCAGCAAAGTGTGTGTGTGTGTTGTTGTGTGTTGGGGGGAGGAGGAGGTCTTCCTTCCACTTCTTTCTTCGAGTGACTGATGGTGGGAGGACAAGATATGGTGCCTTGGGGTGGGGATGGGGAGACTACAACAAATGGTTTGATTTCTCTAGTTTGCTTTTAGCTATGATCTGGCAAGCACCAGCATCTCCAGGGAAGGAGGGTTGTGCTATTGAGGGCGTAACTGCTAAAGGGCGATTCGTTTCAGAGGGTGGACCTCAATTAAGGGATACGTATGGATGAGGGGTTGTTGGAAAGGATTCTGTTTGAGAAAGGAATAATGTGGGAACAGAATTTGCCTTCGTATGCATGGATGGTTGTCTTTTTAGAGTGGAGGAAGGCCTTCAAGGAGGAGATCCCTTCTGAACTTCCTGCATTTTTACTTGAGCGTACAAGAATAGGAATGATCTCCTGGAGAATGGAGGAGAAGTGCGTGTGTTGGATTTCCCATCTGGTGCCCCCCACCAAGTCTTAACCCCAGCTCCTGGAATCTTCGGCCAGGGTCCCGCTGCATCAGAACTAGAAGCGACTCCAAGGCTGTTCTCCCATGTGGCTGTACGTCCCGATCACAGAGGAACACCGCCAACAATGAACCCCCTCATCTGTGAAAGACAGCTGTGGGCGGGGGTGTCGTCGTAGTGGGTGGGTGTCCCTGGGGAGGGATTGTTTTCTGCTCCCGTCTGCTTCCTCCTCCCATCCCGAAGGGTGCAGGCGCCAAGTCAGAATTCCTGAGCAGAGCAGGTAGGAGGAGGAGGTGGCCAGCGAAGCTGCCTCTCTTCCGCCACGTCAGCTCACCTTGCCTATTACACCTCCGCCCGCTTTCCAGGAAGGGGTCAGTCCATCCCTCTGTGGGACTCTGAAGGGTTTCTCCGTCACGTACACTTTCCCCCCGCTGTTGCCACCAAAGGTGGCAGATGGACAGTGTTTTAAGAAACTGACTCAGCCCTTCTCCTCCTGTATAAAAAGAGCCCGATCCACGATGACTTCTCTCCCCTTCCTCCCCTCTCCTTTTTTGGATGGCATGATCCTGTGTAAGTGCTTCATTCATACCATCTGTCGCCCATCCTTCCTCCTGTGGTGTTTTGTTCTAGCTCATGGTGCTATTTCCCTCCTTTTCCATTCCAGGCAGTAGGTTTCGGTGAAGAGCAATGGGAAGAGGTCAGTGGAGACCTCAAGAATGAGAGCAAGATTCTGGGTCCCTGGGGGAGGAGGTGGGGATTCAATCACTAGTAGCCTTCAAGGTGTCCCCCTTCCCCCTCCCCTAGCCTCCTCCCACTCACGGAGCTGTCTGTCTGGAAATGATTACCAGCTTGAAATAAAACTGTGCAAATTTGGGGCAGGGGGAGCAATGCTGTTTTGCTGGAGAGATGCTCTTTTAATGTCCAAATTTCAACCTGTGAAAGAAGAGTTCAAAAATGCAAAAACTTATTTTCCAGAATGAAATAAGAATAATAAAAAAATATATACTGGCTCTTTTCCAACAAACCATGTCTCTGGTTGCTGTTGAGTCATTTAGTCTATGCCTAGATCAGTCCACGGGGTGTTAAGCAAGCAGGCCTTAAAGACACAAGCAGGGGCTGGTTGGTTCAGACCAGGGATCCATCTGGTCCAGTCTTTTGTTGCTGAGAGAAAGCTTGAAGGGGGGCTGCTTGTGGGAATCTCACAAGCACGGGGCCCCACAGGGATTGTGCGACTAGAAGTGTGCAGCTGGAGTAAAGCCATGCAGCCTTTCGAGTGCGGAGTTTGATTTTTAGCCATGGTAACTGTTCTTCATCCTCTTACGAGTAAACCTGAGATGTGAAATGAAGGACTGTGGCTTTGGACTGTGCTAACATCAGTGGGGGGGGGGTTATACCAGTGACGCCTTGATCTTTACACTCTTAATTTGGCTTGGAATTGTGCTGTCCCTCCTACTGGAGGCATCCCGTGCCACTGCAGAATTGGCACCGAAGCATGAGATTGGATGCAGAAAATGTGGATTCGGGGAAATGGACGGTTTTAAAGGAAACTACAAGAATAAGCTTAAAGATTTCCTGGGTGGCAGTCACTGGTGAAATCTCCAAAGCCGTTGAGCAGCACAGCTTGGAGGCCTTTGACCGTGATTCCCGTGCACTGAACATGTCTGTCCTTCATGACTGTGGTTTTCCATACCTCCATCCCACCTGTCCTCATTTACCTTCTGCTTCTTCTCGAGTCCTTTACCACCGCCACCCCCATTCAAATACTTTGCAATCTGAAGTTTATGCAAAATGACTGCTGATTTGCATAATTTAGTCCCGTTGGCAGACAAGACCTCCCAAACATCTGCATTGAAAATTGTCATATTTGAATGAGAATGTGGCAGGCTTTTAATGTTTCGGGAGTTGCAGCCTACGTTCTGGTGTTGCAAGGGCCCCCCCCCCCTTACCTATTCTTTCCTTCATCCTTTGCCAGAGGGATCCAGTTTTTGGACACAGACATACTTCTTGCAAGGCTTGGATCTGGCGGGGGGGGTGCCATTTGTTGCTGGAGAATATCAGTGCTTCTAAATGAAGCTGCCCCACTTCTGCCTTCCAGAACGGCTCATTGTCTTGGAGGTGGCTCTGGCCAGGAGGTGGTTTTGCTTGCAGTGAGTTGGATCCTGCTGGAGTTTCTGCTTGATTTCATCTGGTTCCCCTGTTCAGAACACCTACCCCCCCCACACACACGCTGCACCCCTTTTCTCTACGTGGATAGTCTTTTTGTTGATCCCTAGCAGAAGAGCTGGCATGATAACAGCCCACTCAGCATTCCCAGGCCACTTTGGGTGGGGCAGTTATAGTCACAAACATTATAGGGATGCTTCTGGCTCGCTTTGTTTTGTTTCTGAAGTCATTTCTGTGATAGCAAAGTGTTAAGCCTACGTTTCCACCCTACTTGTACCTCTCTCTTTTTTGGTGGCTTTATTTCTCAAAGTGTACTTTTCTTAAGGAAACAGGGCAGCTGGTGCTGGGGAAAGAGCAAGTTCA